CATCCCCCGTGATAAAGACGAGGTCTCAACCATTCAATGGAGGAAGAACTGCACAGAGAAAATGAGTCAGCGTCACGGCTTCCCATCTATCCTCAGAATCGGAGCTTCCGAGCGGCCTGCCGGCTACGACTTTCTAAGGAGCCCTTTCCCCTGACCCTCCCCAGAGTGAGAGGTCTTCGGCTGGATTTAGGAAAGGAAAGGGTGGTGCCTCTGGCTTCCTGTTTCTGCAAGGCCGTGCTCACAGAACTGGTACTAAACCAAACGATGAAACGACGTTTCAGCCAGATAAACATCAACAGAAGCCACCTCCGCTGAGGATGGCTCCCCTGGCCCCGTGCTCCCGAGACACCCCCCAACCGCCCTTTCCCGGGGGCCTGATCACCACTGCTATCTCGGAGGCTATGGAGGAGGACTCCCCAGCAATGGCTAGAGCTGGCTCGGGGGAAACTGCCTTATCTGACTGCAGCTGTGAACACGCCCCATTGGGGCGCAAACACTGAAACTGCCAAGGGGCCACCGCACAGTGGAAACGGCTCATCCTGTCAGTTATTGAACGCTGTTTCGGGGTTCACAACGGTCTCCTGGTTAGACCTTTTCAAAGGAAGCTGCAGGTGGAGAACATGAGCCCCTGCAACTCCAAGACTCGTTTTGTGAATAAGGTCCTTTAAATTAGCAAAAGAGAAAGAATATTAGACTGATATCTTGCAAAGGAGGTGGGAGAGGGTAGTGCTAAGTGCAAGTCTATAGGTGGTTACATTTTTTGGTCTTTAATAGCCATCCTAGCGGTGTATTTGTATCCAACAAGGTACAAAATGCATGATGTGATTGCAACTATTTTTTAAATATTATATACTTTTTTTCCCCCATAATACATAGAAAAAAGTACCCGTTGCCCACGGGTGCTGGACTAAGGAAGGGCTGTTTCTCTTCCGCAGTTCCTAAGTTTTCTAAAAGGGGCACGCATTGTTTATAAGTGGGTGAAAGTTGCAGCGCCAAAGTGTTTGAAATCTCATCGGCGAAACTCCAAAGGGGTAACTCAAGAAGTCTGTAAGGGAAGAGTGTGGCCTTTCAGTGCACTCACCCTCAGCCGCCCCAGGCCGCAGTGAAAGGAAGCATGTGGCCAGAGGGAGGGAGGGCTGCAGTGAGAGGAAGGGATCAAGGCGAAGGGCTTTCTCCTCTGCAGGCGGCCACGCACAGGTGGGGACCTGGGGAGGAGCCCAAGAGGAAGGTGCGAGGAGCGGGGCGCTGGGCACGCAGGCAGCCCGGGGGGGCCCTCGGCTCTGCCTGGCACCACGCAGCTCCCATAGAGACCAGACAGGCAGGGATGCGTCCACACCGGGTAGAGCCAGATGGACGGACGGACCAGGCCTTCTTGGCAAGGGCTTGGCACGCATCCCTGAACACCAGAGAAGCCAGTCTTCTAGTGTTTAGTCACTTCATGCATTCATCCAGCTCATGTTTTACTGAGAACCTACTATGTGTTGGCATCAGGATTGGAACGTGGTCTAAAACCTGGTCCCTGCCTGAAAAGATATTCATAACACACACACCGTTGACTCAGAGCGTCAGATCTAGAGAAAACTACTCTGCTGACTGACAAGGACCCCTTCTGCTGGCCCTTCCTTTGCCAAGTTAAAGCTCAGACGCTCAAGTGCACAAATTACTCAAGTTTATGAGAGACAATGGAACCCAGATCAAATTCAGAGTAAGAGACACCCCCACCCCCACCACCGAGAGGTCTCCTTTCACTCTCTCTCTCCCAACTCATACGCCCCAGGTATTCTCCAGCCACCCATGAATCCATGTCACTTAGAATACCATTTTTCTATCTCAGATGCAGGTCCTCGGAACTCCTGCCAGAGGGCTCCAAATTTTTAGCAACACAATCTGTGCCCCGCTGTGCCTCCTGCCTCTTGCAGGGCGATGTGGGAAGACTAAAGCGGAAAAGATCGCTTATCATTGCCCTACATCCTTCAAGGAAGCAAAGATCAGCTGCCTTTCCAAGAAAATCAAAGCGGTAGGTCAAAGAGTTAGCATCCGCTGTCATCCACAGATCAGTTGTTGGTTTTTTTTTTTAATGGAGAAGCAAGAAAATGTTTCATATGGATTTCAAAGCATATGTGTATGTCCCGTAGAACAATCAATCATGGACACGGAGTTTTTGCAGAACCCAATTGTAATCCAAAATAAGGAAGACGTTTTAGCCGAGCTAGCCACAGCTCTTTTCTACATTCCATAGGATGTACTGCACATGGCGTTTGCTATGGGCTGGGGAGGAAAACACCAGGACAGCACACTCCTACAGAGGAGACCAACAAGCCAGTGCCGTTTCTTAGGAGGAAATGGAGCCGGGAAGGGAAGCAAAGGCTGAGAGCAGAAGGTCAAGGACAGAGGACCAGGAGAGCCTTCGAGAGCATCCTCCCGCTGGTCCCAGAGGCCCAGGCGGACAAGGGCTGATGCCACTTTCCAGCCGGCTTCCGGTTCTCCACCAGAGCTGGAAATGTCAGCCAAGTGCCCGTTACAAGCTGGAAGTTTCTTCCTGGCATTTCTGCTAGAAAGTTAACTTCCTAATTCTCACGCAGGAAAAGAAAAAAGCCGCTGAAACCGGTTTGGCTCAGTGGATAGGGCGTCAGTCTGCGGACTGAACGGTCCCGGGTTCGATTCCGGTCAGGGGCATGTACCTTGGTTGCGGGCACATCCCCAGTGGGGGACGTACAAGAGGCAGCTGATCGATGACTCTCTCTCATCGATGTTTCTAACTATCTCTCTCCCTTCCTCTCTGTAGAAAATATTTTTTTATATATTTAAATTAAAAATATATTTTTTAAAAAAAAAAGAAAAAAGCCCAGGCAGCATGGAAACCATGGGTGATAGTGGTAGTAGTATTATTCCTATGTCCCTGAACAGCTAACAGGTACAGAGAAGTTAAAGGGACTCGAGGCTGGCATTTCCCCCTGTCCCGGGCATCTCTGCAAAGAATTACCTGGCACATCAGTCCAGGCAAAACTTTAAGTGGCCTAACCACACCTCCAGGGACTGGAGCAAAGCACTCGGTCCTTTGTTTAAATTGTTCGAGCCTCCGTGTACGTACACACCGCCCAGTTCTCCTCCAGCCCTCGGGGTGGAGCCCGGCCTGGCCTGGCCTCCAGGATGCCACTGTCTGTCTGGTCCTGCCCCTGCCAACCACCCCACCGCGGGACTGCGGGCGGTGCAAAAGCGAGGTCCATTTTTAAATTCCCTTAGAAGTTTCACAACCACTGGCTTGGGTGAGGCGACAAACCCTGCTGCTGTCCGTCCTTTGCCGACGGGAAACTAAAAATACCCCAAGGCAAACAAAAGCCATCTTTTTTCCCCCCCTGAGGCTGGCTCGCTCAGATGTCCTGAGGTTACAGGGGATGGTGTCAGACCGTGTCACTGACAGCCCTAACCACTGCTCCTCTCGCCCCGGAGAGGGGCTATGCTGTCCCCCACGCTGCCAAGGAACCTTGCAGTTGGCAGACTGCCTATAGGGTGGAAAGAGCAGCTTTATTCCCCCGCCATCCACCCAGACGCAGGCGAGGTGAATCCGGGGCTGCTGAAGGTGTGAGATACATGCAGAGTGGAGAAGACGCAGGCAAAAAGAAAAAAAAGAAAAACAGAAAAGAAAAGCAATCCCGTTTCCCTGGAAGGAAACGTGTTTCCAGCTCCCTCCTCCTTAAAATTAGAAAAGCAAATTTTCTGCTGCGACTATGCCGAGGAAGACAACTCACAGGCGTAAAACATGGGTTTCAGAGTCAGTGCTGGGAGTGGGGCACCCTTGGTGGGGCGGGGAGACCAGGTACCCCAGAAGCCTGCTCTGGAGAAGCTTCTTTCTACCTGTTGGGCTACAGGGGTGAGCTGAGGACCCCGGGCTGCCGCTCTCCAGGGTGTCTGACCCTCTCCCAGGTCCCAAACTTTCCCTCGCGCCCTTAGGAAGGGAAGGGGGGCCTCGGCTCTCTCCCTCCGGATTGCAAAGGCGAAAGCCCCTAAGCCCCCCGGGGTCTGCAGGGAGGAGGAAACTCATCCCCACGCGGCCCTGGGCCTCCAGGTGCTCGGAGCCCAGGAAGCGGGGACGCAACCTGATGGTCAGCCCAGGTCCCGGCAGAAGTTTCCTCCAAAACTGCCAAGCTGTGACCCAGAAGCGCCCGGTCCCCACGGGCGCAGGGTGGGGATTGGGGCGCGAGAGGCTGGGGCAGAGGGGCAGGGGGCAGGGGGCAGGGGGCAGGGGGGGCAGCAGACAAGGGGCACGGCAGCGGGAGCAGGCCCAACGGAACCAGCCGCAAGGTCACTGCGGATCCGGACCCCGGGGGCCAACAGCCAGCGCCAGGCCCCTTCCCCGGCCCGCCGGGCGGAGGGGCAGCAGCGCCGGGCACCCCTCCCCTCCCCACACCTGCTCGGCGGCGCCCAGCCCCGGACACGTGGACCCAGCCCCGGGCTCCGGGGCTCGCGGCAGGGACTCCCCACCTCGCCGGAGCCCGCACCCCCGCCCCCGGCACCGCCGCCCGCGGGAAGGGGCAGGAGCCCGGGCGGGCGCAGCGCGGCGACTCCCGGCGCCTCTTCCATCCTCCGAATGGGGAGGAAGTTTCGTTTTCTTCCAACCGACACCCCCGCTCCCCATTAGCTCCCCGCAGCCTCTACCTTCCCCAGCTACCTCGAAGACGGACAGACAGGAGACACAAAGAAAAAAAAAATATACAAAAAACTACCGCCCCTCCTGGTCCCATCCTCCAGCCCGGAGCCGGGAGGACGCCGAGGAGGGAACACCTTCATCCCATCCCGACGCGGTGACCCCGGCAGCAAGGGGTTCCCCCCCGCCCCCCCCCGCGAACCGGGCAGCAAGGGGGTCCCCCCCCCCCAGGTGGCCGAGGGAGAGAGGAGGTAAAGGCTGGGAGAGGAGGCAGAAGCCAGGCGGAGCGGCCCCGAGAGCGCGCGCGAGAGAGAAGAAAAAATATCCAACAAAACCACGCTAACGCGCCCCCTACCTGGGTGCAACATACTTTGGAAATAGAAGATGACCAGGATAAAGGATCCCAAGCAAGTGGCCAGCACCATCCGGCAGATTCTGTTCATCCTCATCACTTCCAGCAGCGCCGGCTTCATGGCTTTGTCCTGCCTGCCTGCGGGGGCCGGGGTCCGTCCGGGGGGCGCGCCCGGGGCGCGGGAGCGGGACCCACGCCGCGCGGAGCGGAGCCGGGGCGGCGCAGCGCGGGGCTGGGCTGGGCTGGGGAGAAGGCTGGAGAGGAGAGGCTCAGGGCTGGCTCTGCGGCGGCTCTCCGAGCCCCTAGCCCCGGGGCCGGGGTGCGGGAGGCGCCGGAGTTGCTCTGGGAAGTGCCAGCAAGATGCGTGGACCCGCCGGCTGCGCGCTCGGATCCTCCGGCTCCTCCGGCTCCTCCGGCTCCTCCGGCTCCTCCTCGTCTCCCCGCCGCCGCTACTGCTGCCTCCTCGCGGGCCGGGCGGCTCCGGTGCGAGCGGTGATGGTGGTGCTGGTGCTGCCGCTGCCTCTGGCGCTGCCTCTGCTGCCGCCGCGCTGGCCGCTGTGGCTGTCGGACCGGCCACCCTCCCTCCTCTCCAAAGCCTACTTCATTGCGCTCCAATGATCTATATATTCCGGGGCTGGGCTTTACCAAAGGCCACTCGCAGCCCCCGGCGAGGGGAGGCGGGCGCCCGCGGAGCGCCGGGCGGAGGGAGGGCCCAGGGCGGAGGGAGGGCCCGCGCGCAGGGGCGGAGCGCCGGTCCCCCCGCCCCGGCCCGGACTTGGTCGCGTCCAGCTGTTTGCCGGGGAGCGCGGAGCGCGCCGCTCCCGCAGGGTCCCAAAGGCCCCCCGTCCCCGGCCGGCCGGCCCGCTGCGCCGCGGTCTGTCTGGAGGTGGTGTCAGCGTTTCCATGACAAAACCCGGAGGAAAAAAATACGCATAAAAACCGCCTCAGTGCTGCCACCCACCCACTCGTGCCCGGCGTTCGGACGGAGAGGTGGCGGGAGCCCGTGGGGCGCCGGGAGCGCGCAGGAGGCTAACGGGACGCGATGGTGTAAAATCCCTGGACAGAGGAGGTAGCCGGGAACTTGTCCCTGCCCCCCGGGGAGCGAGTACCCTTTCCCCGATTCCTAGAACCGGGTGGTTCCCCCCCCCCCTTTTTTTTGTTTTTGTTTTTATTTTTTTCCTTTTAAATGACGGCCCAGCTTGAGCGAAGTTTTGGGAAGGGGTGCAAGAGGCTGACTTCAGGTCAAGGGTAGGGAAGCTGCAAGCATCCGCAGGGGTCAAGCCACGGCTGAGCTTACCCCCCGGATATAGGCAGAGCTTCTGGCACCCACCCCCTCCACGGGGCAACGGAGGTGGTGTGTGTGTGTGTTTGGGGGGGTGCCTGTGGGTTTTAAAGCTCTGGCTTCCTGAGGGGAGAGCTTCCTGACTCTATCTGGGCCTCGTGGGTGTGTGTGAGTGTGAGGATGCAGGGTGAAGCCACTCGCCTCCAAATCCAAGCACAGCTGGGAAAACCAAGCCTGCCCCGGGGTAAATGGAAAGATGGGGTCGCTTTCTTATATGGCGTGAAGTGATTTAAAATGTCCCGTTGCATGGTTCTTTCACAAGCAATAAAGTGGGTGCAGGCAAATACTGTGCTCACCGGCTCCCTGACCCAGTCCACCCATCTACCACCCCGAACCCAAGACCTCGGTCTTCTGGCCTTTGGGGTTTCTGTAAGCAGACTCAGGCACTGCCCTCTCCTATGTTCCTTTTAAACGTGTGCAGTTTTGTTTTGTTTTTTAAGTTCAAGCATTATTTAAGTTCTAACAATAATATATACCAGGAAAAATATTATTGTAAAGACTCTCCCACTTTTGTGCCGTGTTATCAAGTCGCTTACTACTATTAACTTTTTTTTAATATATTTTTTATTGATTTTTTACAGAGAGGAAGGGGGAGGGAGAGAGAGTTAGAAACATTGATGAGAGAGAAGCATCGACCAGCTGCCTCCTGCACACCCCCCACTGGGGATGTGCGGGCAACCAAGGTACATGCCCTTGACCAGAATCGAACCTGGGACCCTTCAGTCCCCAGGCCGACACTCTATCCAGTGAGCCAAACCAGCTAGGGCTTACTACTATAACTTAATGATGAAACAAGATAATGTGTCTTTCCATGCTTCTCCCATAATAGGCATTTGACGAATACTGGTTGAGTCTGAATGTAATGGGCCTCATCCCCTCAATACATCGGAGACACAACTCGCAGATACAGGCGGCTGTATCCTCAGTTCCCTTCCCCCAGAGCAGGGGTCCTCAAACTTTTTAAAGTGGGGGCCAGATCACGGTCCCTCAGAGAGCTGGAGGGCCGGACTATATGAACTACTAATTCCTACTGTAACACCTCGGCTGCGCTCACTGCCCAAAAAACCTGGCGGGCCGGATCAGACTCCTCTGCGGGCCGCATGTGGCCCGAGGGCCGTAGTTTGAAGACGCCTGCCCCAGAGCCTTCCTCCAGCAGGCACAAAGTGGGGGCGCGCAACGGAGTCAGCAGCCTTGCCTTTGAGATTACAGAAGACAATCAATTACAGCACATTATTTATGTAGCTGGTTTGTGCGGTGTCCACGGGTGCTCACACGTGAATGTGTTGCTTGCTAAAGGCAGCCTAGCTCCGTGGTCGGCAAACTGCGGCTCGCAAGCCACAGGCGGCTCTTTGGCCCCTCGAGTGTGGCTCTTCCACAAAATACCACGGCCTGGGCGAGTCTGTGTTGAAGAAGTGGCGTTAGAAGTTTAAGTTTAAAAAATGTGGCTCTCAAAAGAAATTTCAATCATAGTCCTGTTGATATTTGGCTCTGTTGGCTGATGAGTTTGCCCATCACTGACCTAGCTGAACAAGCTCCAGCACAAAGTCATTCTCCAGTGATTACCCTTAACTTAGGGGTGTCGAACTCAATCAAAGAAGGGGCCAAAATCTAAAATCCAGCCTAAATCGCGGGCCGAATGGTTTACTGAACAGTCATAAACTGTCATTGTGATGGAAACGCAGCGGAGTGCAGTGATGACAGCGCGGTGTGGGCCACATTGCAAGGCCTGGCGGGACGGATTTGGCCCGAGGGCCTTGTGTTTGACTCATGTGCTAACTCCTGCTCTTACTTAATGCGTTGCGGGGAGCAGCTGTGTGAAGGGATTTGCTCATTCCACGGGCCCCTCACCTTCTAAGGCAGACCACACCTTACCTATACAAAGGCCCGGGCATGCATAAAGCAGTGTGGGAAGTCACAGGGCCCTGGGAAAGGTCAGATGTCAAATCCTGGTGGGTCACAGAGGGGTCGAGGTGGCCCGAGTGGTGAGGAAGGATGGTGAGCCAGGCCCAGCATTCCACAATCAGGATCTGGCCTAAACATACAGGAAGAGGTAAGGGTCTGATAGGGAAGCTACCACCTCTTCTAAGAAGCCTGCCCTGATTTCTCACCTGAAGTGGCTTCTTTCCTCCTCTGTTGCTCTGAGCACTAGATCTGGACCCCTCTTGAGTCCGTGTACCTACCAGGCTGAGTTTTGTTCCTATCTGTCTCTCTGTGACGCTCAGCATAGCAGCTGGCACCTAGCAGTTACAAACAGGTCAGAGATGGAGAGGTGATGCCTTCTTGGGCTAGGAAGTTCAACTAGTTGTTCTATGTACAGTAGAGCTGAGGGAAAAGTAGAGTCACTGCTTCCTTTCCATTGGTATCCTAACAAAACCTGGTGACAACTTTTGTACATGCTGCGTGGTAAATATTGGTCCTATAGAGGACAGTGTTGACTGATAAAACTGTGGGAAAGGGAGATTCGATCCTTTGAACTTGGAGGAGAGGGAAACAGAAGTTTGCCTTTCCAATCAAGCTTTTTGTCTTCCCGGTGTATCAGTCAGATGGGCTGGTTTTGCTGCAGTAACAAGCATGCCCTCACTTCAGTGGCTTACAGCAGCCAGGGCTCATCTGTCACTCCACCACATGTCTGCGGGATCCGCAGAGGAGCTGTATAGGTGGCACCCTTCAGAGATCCAGCCCAAGGAAACAAGTGCTTCTCTGTCCATCATTGATCAGCCAGAACTAACCACGTACTGCTCCACTCCACGCCCAGGCCGGCAGTCAGAGAGCCTAAAGTATGTGGCATACCATCTTCCTGGCTGCAACTGCGTAGTCCCTTTTTGGATCTTCTTTTCCCTCATTTTTATTTTTATTTTTCCATATATATATATTTTTTTAATTGATTTCAGAGAAGAAGGGAGAGGTATAGAGAGACAGAAACATCAATGATGAGAGAGAATCACTGAGCAGCTGCCTCCCACATGCCCCTCACTAGAGATCAAGCCTGTAACCCAGGCATGTGCCCTTGGCCAGAATCGAACCTGGGACCCATCAGTCCGCAGGCCAATGCTCTGTCCACTGAGCCAAACCAGCCAGGGCTTCCCTCATTTTTCTAAACTCCGTTTTACCCCCCAACAGCTTCTGCAAACAGTCACCGCTGCTCATTGTGGGACTTGGCTTCACCTTTGGGTGGATCCTGAGGCATGACCCTTCCTCTCCAAATTCGGTAACATGCACATGAAACCGGGGCCTGTCTGTGTCAACACGGCGTACGGCCCCCAAACACACACGTCGATGGAAAGACCTACGTATATGGATCTCAGATCATTCATAAGGAGAGGAAGACGTGGGTGGATGCCAAACCCAAATTCCGGCCCATGCGTGCCACCCGCGGTGAACAGACATATTCACGGAGCCCTGCAGGCCGGGGCTGCCTCATTCTGCAGACGCCGCCTTCAGTGCACTGTCTTGTGGAGACCCTGCAGGACCTGCAGCCCTGGCCCTTCCCGCACGCCGTGGGGGAGGGGAGCGGGCCCGGGGCCTGGTAGACGGAGCGCTCCTCAGCATCCATGGCGGGGCAGGGAGGGAGCGTGTGTCCTGCCAGCACCGGCCAGGGGCCCCTCTGCCCATTTGCATCTCCTCCCTGTCGCCTCCTGCACAAAGTGCGCTCAGTTGCCCAGAGCACAGTAAATATTTGTGGAGCGGAATTAAAAAACGTGTCCACGGCGCGCGGCGATCCAGGGTACAAGCCTTCTGCTGGTAGGTAAACCGCAGGGACACAAGCGGGCACTCATGACAGCGGAGAGCAGGCTGCGCGTCTGGGGCCTCTTAGAACAGGGAGGGGAAGAGAGGGACGGGTGGAGGAAGGGACAGAGAAAGGGAAGGAGGAAAGGAGAGAGGATGGGAAGAAAAGGAGGGAGAGGAGAGGGAGGAGGAAAGATGTGCCCACGGCTGCTGGTTCGCTAGCAGATGCCGCCGTGGCTCCTCTGCTCTCTTCCCTAGGAGACAGGGCTGTGGCGCCTGACCCTGCGCCGTCCCTGCTCCGCCTGCCCCCAGGTGGCCTCCGTCACCCTCCCGGGCCCCTCGGAGCTGCTCATCCTTCTCCAGGATTTCTGGAGAGGCAGCCCCTGGTCAACTCCCAAACTCCCATCCAGATGGCACAGAAGCTCTCCGGCTGCAACCAAAAGACCTCTCTCCTTTGCTCCTCCCCCACCCACCCACCCACCCCGGGCACCCCACTGAGACAGGGAGAGCCTCCATCTCCACAGCTCTCTCCGGGCAGGTCCTGCTCCCTACGCATTTCCCCTGACCCAGGCCCTCCAGATGGGCCAGTGTCCTTCTCTCACAGAGGAGGAAACGGGCGCAGAAAAGGTGGCCTAACACCCAGGGGCCCACAGTGGTGTTGGCTG